CGTTTAGTGATTTGAAGGTGATGGTTAGGAGTTTGAATTTTCTACGTTGGTTGATAGGAATTCAGTGGAACTGGTGCGATGTTTATACTTTCGTTTTTTTGCACCAGTAACGGCAACGTAATGTTTGGGGATGAACTCGTCTACTTCCTGTTACTATTTTCTTTGTAATAATTTTGACTATTCCTTTCCCAACATTTAAATGAAGTAAAAATCACTCTTGGCATACACATGAACCATAGAGAATAAATGGTATAATTTTATATATAACTGAAAATTCATCGTCAAATCTAATCATGATGATCATTTTCAACATGTGCTTTAGTATATCAGGAGATGATCTTCTCCACATTGACTGAAATGATGGAGAGACAAGTTCCTTCATTACGTGACTGGAAACATGTTGGTTAAATAGCTGGGCATAATTATTCGCATTCACAAATTTTATTGTTTAGCTATGCAGTTGCTTTGAGGCTTTTCATTCAAGTTCAACTCGGTCTGGGTGTTTTGTTTTTTCTCTGCCATGTGTTTAACAAATATACGAGGAACCGTACTGACTCCTATATTGATAAACATCGTTAGCACAACATTGGTAGTGTCTTGCAATGCTTCCCATCAAATTGTTAGAAATGTCAACTTTGTCAAAGCATATTTAATACCCACCCTACACACAATACTCTCTTACAGAATAGATCCTAATTTGTTCTAGTTACTTTATCATGAACATTAATAAAGATCAACCATCACGACTCCTGGTTTGTTACATAAAACGTTCTATGTGCCTGTCCCTGCTCCATCGCGACATTCATCATACGCGGATTCTATCACCCGGATACCTGCCGCTATACGGCCTTTCAGTCTCCAGGTAACCGCTGAGCGAACAGTTGGAGGTTGTCGTAAAATATCGCCACAGGTCATATCGTTAAAAAGAGTTTTTGAAAATTCTGACAATGAGCGTTTATAAAACTTTGCCATCACGAATTAACTGTTCATTAGGCGTTAAAGTACTTGTCAAGGTGGTAAAGACATTCCCCCCGATCAAGGTCATGCTATTAATGCGGATGCTCTGTGAGAGAGATGCGTTTATTGGACTACCATTGACACGCCTTCCGTGTTGTGTTAACGAGAGATTTGTGCCCGCAGGGCGTTCAATGATGTATTCCACTGACAGTGTATGCTTCGTGACGTAACTTATACTTCAATGTAAGTCATTTAACTCTCGCTTTAGCGTATACAAAATGATTAGTGCATTGTCGGGGTGTAGGGTGTTTATTTTTCTCATCATTGGGCAATTTACTCAAATGGTTCGTTGCTTTTTTAATGTCTTGTTTTATTTTGTGGATTTGTATAATCTTGTCGTGTTAATAATATATTATCCACCCCAGACCTTGGAACTATGATTATCCGTTGCGGGTTGTTTGTTTGTTTGTTTGTTGTTTAACGCCGCACTCAGCAATATTCCAGCTATATGACAGCGGTCTGTAAATAATCGAGTCTTGACCAGACGATCCAGTGATTGACATCATGAGCATCGATCTACACAATTGGAATATGATGACATGCATCAGCCAAGTCAGGAGCCTGACCACCCGATCACGTTAGTCGCCTCTTACGACAAGCATAGTCGCCTGTTACGGCAAGCATGGGTTGCTGAAGACCTTGTCTACCCCGAATCATCACGGGTAATCAGGCACCAATAACATGGGACTTTATCATAGCTCGGTTCTCGAAGTAAGAATAAATGTAAAATTATACCCATTCATTTTTTGGGACACAAATAAGGTGGGCTGGTTAAAACATTAAGCATTTTCATAACATGCGACAGTAATGTTATTTAGTAATAACATACACTAAAGCTATAGGACCGCCTCTGCGGTCTAGTGCTAGAGCGTACGCCCGGAGAGTGGAAGGCCCGGGATTCGAACCCCGATCGCGTCATACCAAAATACGCTGAAAGAAGGTACTTGTTGTTACCATACCCAACCTGGCGCTCGACAAGAACTGGTCGGCTCGGAGTCAGTTTACTGTGTCTGAGTGGCATATTCATGTTAATCTTCGGCAAGGTATCTCAGTGGGCTAGCACTATAAATCGGCATTTGTCCGGACAGGTACATGCAACCACACACATACATGCACACACACACACACACACACACACACACACACACACACACACACACACACACACACACACACACACACACACACACAATCACACACACACACACACACACACACACAGGCATGCACGTCGCTATATAAGTGCAATAATCTTGGACGCGTCCTTCAACCCCATTTCACCTCACCTAACTAAAGCCATGAATAGTACGCATTTCAGTTAACACGTATCGGTCATTGAGTATGTTCAGTTGTGATAGTCATAAACAATTTGGTGATTTGGTGATGTGTATTATATAAAACAAATTGTGTACTGGAAATGATTTCCACAATCCTGTTACGTGGATTTCTAAAACGATAAATAAAATATTATAAAAAACACTGGTCAGTTTAAAAAACAACTTTCATGTTCCAGCTTCATAAGAGAAAGAGACTTAGTCAAATAAGCAACGGATCTGTTGTCCAAAATCGTAAAGACACTTCCATTCTGTATATCAAGGGTAAAATATACCCGGTCATGATCCTTTTTTCAGCATCAAGGATTTTACAGTGTTTGTGTCTTGTTCCCCCTCAGGGCTAACAATATATAGTATTACGTCAATAGTGTTATAGTAATGATCGATCAAGACAGAAGATATAACGGTCATTAAAATGGTGGTTTACATTCAAGTGGGTGAGGGAGCATGGTTTATTCCGCTTTCAGCAGTTTTCGAGCAATTTCACGCTCAGAAAAAGGCTTCACACTTTGTAAGAAAATTTAAACGATATTATATTTCTACACACCAAAAGAAGTCTAAAACGTTTGTAGAATTAAAAACGATTCTGATTGTTGAAGTCTAATGATGATCGTGATGTGATCAGATAAAAGAGTGGAAGTATATAATTGTGATGTTTGTTTTCGGAAAGGAGCATATTTGTCTGTAGGTCACGTAAAGGCGTTTGTATAGTCAAATCCCAGTTAGTATCAACGTATACATCCTAATCGCTATCCCGGTAGTAGAACCTGACTGATAATTCATTTATCATCCGAACACTCTTCGGAAGCTGTGTACTGTTCGCCTTTTAGTGGATGTTACATATACAAAACTAGCCAACTTGTTTGTCCTCGTGTATGACCGAAACAGCATAGATATATACCGGTAATTCATACTATTTCTCGGAACTAAGACACTTGAAACATTTAAAAATGTTTCATAGACTTAAAAACGAGATGGCCCAGGTGGATCAGAAGCCAGTGTTTTCTTCTAATTTTGGTACGTTGTGGCACGGGGAACAAATCTCACTCATTGTCATACATAAACTATATTGCATATTAATAGGTCATGTATACTAAACAGGTGGGGATATACCCCACATTGCTACACTTTCTTCACACGTTCGTTATATTTTACTTTTTAATCATTTTCTTATTAATATAAGGAATGGCGTTCGGTTATCGAACTAATTTTAAATATTGCATGGTTTTCCGACATTCAATATTAGTTTTTAGGTGAATGTCAAGTGATGTTTCATTGAAACATGTAGGGATATAAATTTCTTTGATCGATTGGATCACGTCATGTTAATTTTTTTTTATTCTGTAACATTCATTGAAGACACGGCAAATTGAAATTATTTTATTTAATATCTTTTTGAGGAACCTCAACATAGATTACATAAAAGTCGTTAATTGTTTCCTCTTGAAATCATCCATTTAGTTTTAAATAGTTCGTACTAATTACCAGGTGAAAGCATGGATATGTATCTCATTCTCAATTTCAAATTTAGTGGCACTTGACCTGTGACTCTCAATTCATCATTAATAATATATCGATTAACCTGTCAAATCCAAATGTAAATCTGAGGAAGGGTGCGTCGTACACAATAAAACCTTGTTTTACCGAAACCCTTTGCATTCAGTGCGAATACTGATGGAAGCGGTTGATCAATCCATACTAATTCACACTCGTTATTCGTTAATCCGGAGATTTGTGAATCCGCCCGATGGCTACGTCCAGATTAATGGGTATCAACGTTTACAGTTTCGCCCCATATGTTACAGTTACAGAAAATATGTATGTTAGTTACAGAAACTTTATATTGTCGTTACAGAAACTATGTATGTTAGTTGCAGAAATTTTGTATTGTCGTTACAGAAACTATGTATGTTAGTTGCAGAAACTTTGTATTGTCGTTACAGAAACTATGTATGTTAGTTACAGAAACTTTGTATTGTCGTTACAGAAACTATGTATGTTAGTTACAGAAACTTTGTATTGTCGTTACAGAAACTATGTATGTGAGTTGCAGAAACTTTGTATTGTAGTTACAGAAACTGGTAGATACAAAGATCGGAATCTCACTGAGATAGAATGTGTTGCCTGCTCTCATAATGAACATGGGTTTCATCACAAACTCAAATGTCCAATCACTGTAGTTTGAATTTAGAAACAAATATATAAGACCATATTAATGAGAGAAGCCTTCTCCATGTAAACGTGTCCAGTTGGTCATGTTACAGTATGTAAAAAATTGTGTAACATGATTATTTTTATAAAGCACATGCATTACAGAATCATGTAACTCTGCATATTCTCCATTTGTATCATGGCAATTTATATTTTACTGTCACCATTGCAATACTCCCTGCAAAACATGTGTCAAGGAGCAACATTGTCCTTTCTACGGTACGTTTTATATACTGCTCAGCTGTAGATCTAGGGTTGATACAATAAACGGTGCATACTTATGGTAGTGTAAGGTGGATTGAGGGAACGTATTCATCAGTCTGGGTTTATAGTCACAGTATCTGCCTGTTGGACCCTCTTGGTTGTGTTCCCTGTGTGGTGTTGATGACTATGTACGATCAATAATAAAAAGTCAGTCATCCTACATCTGTGTTTCAGACTGGTTCGAGCACTGCTTGGACCCGTCTCGTCGGTGTGGTCGCGGCGATGGAGGTGTGGACGAGGCCGTTACGGAGCCCGACAGAAGCGAGTCGATGTCGGATGAGGACCAGGAGAAGAGTCAGTATTTTCAACTTGCTTTTGTTTTGAAGAACTCTTGAAATCTCAAAAAGCAATTGGAATGTCATAGATTATTGATTTCGTCGTTTTCCCATTTTCTCCAAGAGCATATTATTTTTGGATTGATAGTATTAATCTTAAGGAAGAGAATTTGTGGTTGTCAACGTCTTTATTATGAGGAACACAACGTTTCGGAGTATGTACTTACTCCTCCATCAGGTGAATGAATGGCATGAGACATTATAAGTGTCTTTCAGAGACTTGATTCGACATCGACTTTAAGATTATGCAGTAATATCAAGAAGTACAACAAGACCATCAGCAAAAGTGTTAATATGATCTCTGCCTCTTAGCATCCATTCACCTGATGAAGGAGTAAGCATGTACCCTGAAACGCTGTGTTCCTCATTATATAGAAGTTGACATCCATAAATTATCTTCCTAATGTGTATCACTTCTAAATGCCTTTCAAAGACTTGAGTATTAATCTTGAGATTTTGTGTGACCTTAAGTGACATCGACTGAAATGTAGATAATCTAAACATAATAAAAATAACGTGTCATGACGTCTGATGGAACCAGCTGATGATGATGTTTACAGAAGCGTCAGCTCTTGATGGTTTCTTTTTGTCTTAAAGTTGCTTTAACTGAATGAAATATTTAATCTGTATAAAATGTAGGGCAAAAGAAAGTACATATACACACCTGAAAAATGGATTTGACCAAAATATTACAAACGTTATCTAAATGTTACTGGGTTGAAAACAGTCGCCGAAACACTACAAATGTAAGGACCAAACAACACCCATGATACCCGTATCAAATACAACACCATCAATAAACCATTTTTGGTTTGTTTCATTTTTATTCACCACCAAACTGTGTGTATTATTCCTTTTACAGTTTACTTCAAAAGTATCCGCGATCATACACATACGCATACACATACGCATACGCATACGCATACGCATAAGAATATACATACACATACAATTTTTGCGAACACCTGTTGTCTTCACTGAGTGGACTACATATAACTTTTTCACACTTATTTTGCCCCCTATGCCAAATGGAACCTGTTTCTGTGGATAATCAAGATTGGTTATTTTCTTGCATTGACATTTTGCATTTGTTTACTACAAGTATTAATTAGGCAGATAGGATTATACGTTTTTGCAGATTGGTCAAACACGTTAACTGGGTACATCGCAAATAAATTGACAAGACCAGGGTGGTTGGGTGTAGAATAGTTAAGATCTGAAAGAAACAGAAAGATATTTTGATTTATATACAATATACTTCTAAAACAATATTACATTAGTGTTTCATGAGTGTGTATGTGAATGTTGTCTTGACAGCTGTACCTTCACACTTTCATTCTGAATTGTATCTAATGAGCTCTTACAGTCAGACAAAGAATTGCCGATCCACAACTGATTCTGAATTCACAATGCCTGCCATTAAATACGAACATATGAGGATTGGGTGGTTATTATGGCGGCGATACTGTCTGTATTTTGTGGTACCTCCTCTCTGGTCAGTGTTTACGCAGTCGAACATGACCACAGGTCTGACGGGTCAAGGCTTGACCATTCAGACCGTCCAGACTATTTTGCTAGTATCTTACCTCTCCGCTGAGTGAGCAGTTACCCAAAAGAAAATACAGTATGACAATAAAACAAGTAACCACTTATCATAATTACTACGGTTCACAGTTTGGTCATTTTCGTGCTTTACCCGATAGTAAGATTTTTTAGACTGAAAAAGAGGGCGGTTGAAACGACGTAATCATGACGGTACCTCTCATGTCTTTACGGGAAAATATTTTGTTGTGCAGGGCGGGATGATATATAATTAAGCAAGTCAAAGGGTAAATACAGCCACTTATTTTTTAATGAGGCTGTATTTACGGCTAGACAAGTCAGACAGCATGACTTTACTAGGCGTCGTGCTTACTCGGTTGATGCATAGTCAGTGAACTGATTCGGATCAGTTCTTTTATCAGGACATGGAAAGGATTTTGTTGTTTTTTGTTTCTATACAACATCTTTGTTTTCATACAGCGGCTATTCCAAAGGCACGCATAGGATCAAAGCCACACTCAACACCCCAAACGCTGAAATGGTAAGTGTACTTAAATTTATAACTAACACATCAGGTTTCGGAGGCGAATGAGATTCATTCAATTATGACTGAAACCAAGAAAACATAAATCAAATCCCGCTCGATATCCCATTTGAAATCGAGGGGACGAGTTGCCCAGTTTCCCTAGGAGCGCAATTCGCTGTGCAGAGTTGCGTCCCTTGGGCACGCCAAACACCTATGGTCGTGGGATCGAAAGACGGTTCTCCGGATTATGTTTCTAGGTTTGTCAGCACCATACCCGTGCTCGTGGGTTTCACCGAAGTGGTAAACGCCTGAGGCCTGCATCACTTCGGGCTTTCCTCCCACATTAAGCTGACACGCCGCGATATATCTGGAATACTGGCCACAGTGGCGTTACACCCAACTCACTCACTCACTCACTCACTAACCCCTAGACACCAGTTCAATATACCTGTGATATTAAAACTTTGAATAATATACATTCTACGACTTTTCCGTTAAATGGTGCTTCCGACTGGCCCAGAGTGAGTTCCAAAGCCATATGCAAATGCGAACATCTTTCTTGAACAGACATATTTTTTGTTGTACAGAGCACTAGGATAACAGGTCGCGCATGTTATGTTTTGCTTTTCCCTAAATGAACGAGTGCATAGTCACACGCTGACATGCATGTTGCATACATAGATCGAAAGGGTTTGTCTTTGGTAGTCTTTAATAAAAAAATTAACGTCGTGTTTACGCCACGGCTTAGTATGGGGCTTTAGTTGGAGGTGATGTAGGTCCCTGAAACCCGCAAACACGGGAGTAGTGGAGACAAACATAATCACAATGATCATGATTAATTCCAACGCAATATAATACGATCATGATACAACGAAGTGGTGCAACTTTTCTTATTTCTAGAAAATGCTATATCTTAAAGGGAATAATTTGCACATAGACAAAGGAGTCTTTTTGGTAATGCAACATCTCAGTATCGCATATGCTCTTCTGAAGTTTGTTTTGGTGAGTCCATGGGAGTGTAACCTCGTTAGTATCTTAAAGGGAATAATTGGCACATAGACAAAGGAGTCATTTTGGTAAAGCAGTATCGCAGTATCGCAGAATCGCATGTGCTCTCCTGAAGTTTGTTTTGGTGAGTCGGGAAGGAAGATGAATAATGTACAGCCGTGTGCATGTTCTTACGTAGTTCCGATTTTTGCGCTGCAGAAATAATCTTATTATTATATACATATTAGGGGCCTCTTGACAATACGGACGAGATTTGGTCTTCAGCAACCCATGTTTGTCGTAAGAGGCGGGTATTTGGATCGACTCACTGACTTGGTTGAAGCAACTGCATTGATCGATGTCCATAATGCCAATCACTGGATCATCTGGTCCATACTCTATTATTTACATACCACCGTCAGGATCCAGTAGGTCTACTTGCGTCCAGCTCAACCTATACTTAAGTTAAAGAGTTACTTCCCTTCTTCAGCTGACTTATTAAATTTATTAGAGAAATACACATAGCCTCAAGTTCAGAAGGTGAAGTGCACTGGTGCTGAAGTTGAAGACGGATCTCGAATAATGTGCCTGGTGGAGGCCGGGAGGCCTAAAACTGGAGACTACAGTGAACTACGTTTATAACGAACACACTTATAACGAACTGACGTATATAACGAACTGTTTTTTGGTCCCGTCCGTTTGCTGTATATATATATGCTTATAACGAACTACAGTTAAACTGAACTAAAATTTGTTGCCCTTTTGAGTCAGTTATAACTCTGCATCTGTTTATGCATCCATTTGAATTCCCCTGTGGGAATAAACACAAAGGGAGATTTCTTTCTGCACAGAAGTTAAATTTACGCAGGACATTTGTTTTGTCAATAAAATTAAGAAAGAAATCAGTCCTCATTTGTGACCATCATTGTCAGGCAATATTGTAACACATAGACTGTCATGGGTTCAACCAGGCTGGAGGAGAACTATGAGATCGCCGAGGGAGTGTGCATCCCCCGCTCTACGCTGTACCTCCACTACCTGGACTTCTGTGAGAAGAACGACACACAGCCTGTCAACGCCGCGAGCTTCGGAAAGGTACGTCAACGAAATCTAACCGTTCTATATACATCCATACATGAGAAACCATAATTTATCAATGTATCTTCCAATCTTTTATACAAAATACAAAATATCCACTTTGACATGGACTGATGAAGGCCGGTGCTGAATCAGAATCAGATAAAATATAACATATCTATATACCAGACATATTTAATTTGTGAATTTTTCATAATAAATTTATGGCTGAAAAAAATAATCCTACTCTCGCATATATCAAGTCATCGCTGTTCTGACTTCAAAACAAAGCTATGGGTGCAGGTTATTTATTATATTCCCATTTATTCTCAGATATGGTAATGTTCCAAAGTCCAAGTTGGATTTCATTATTCCATTTTATAGAGATTATTAGCTGAATCGGGTCTTTGAAAGGCATTTAGAAGTGATTCACATAAGGAAGAGAATATATGGATGTCAACTTCTTTATTATGAGGAACACAACGTTTCGGAGTATATGCTTACTCCTTCATCAGGTGAATGAATGCCATGAGGCAGAGAGCATATATATGTACATGTAAGTACAACAAAATTAATAAGATAACAAAAGGTGGAAAATAACAAAGGGTAGAAGGTAACAAAAGAAGCCAACAGATGATTGGCGCTGATAGGTGATTAGCAAAAGACAATGAACGCCAACACTAAAGTGATCATAGATAAGTAATATACACTGAAACGTTCTGTTCCTCATAATAAAGAAGTTGACATCCATATATTCTCTTCCTTATGTGTATCACTTCTAAATGCCTTTCAGAGACCTCATAGACTGTTCGTTGTGTAGAAGCACATTAAGGTGGTGACAAGTACATCCCAAATGTGTGTAAAGATAACGGCACAGAAGACTAAATCCTTATATGAATAACAACCTCTGTATTGCACTGTTAAAGCGACCTTTCTGTATAGATACTTACCCTTTTGTCAATCAAGACAGCGATATAAGGATCTGTACCAAAATGTCGCTAAATCAGTACAATAAAGAAGGTTTTATCCATAAACAACTGTCTACTTTGTTACCCTTTGACTTCTAAGAAATGTCTATCAAATAATACATACAACGAGCCCCGTTGTTATCTGATAGGGTCGTTGGCAGATTACTTAGTGAGTTAAATAATGGGGATTCAAACCACGTAATCCCGGCTGTGAAATTCATGTAAATTTACCTCAAAACTCGTGAATGAGTTTTAAAATCCTTCATTTTTCCTGATGTTAATTAAGCACGCAATGTTTTTTTACAATGTCTTAACTTGTTCTATCTATATGGGGGCGGTCGGGTAGCCTAGTGGTTAAAGCTTTCGCTCGTCACGCCGAAGACCCGGGTTCGATGGGTACAATGTGTGAAGCCCATTTCTGGTGTCCCCCGCCGTGATATTGCTGGAATATTGCTAAAAGCGGCGTCAAAAATACTCACTCACTCTATGTATATGTATCTAATGATTGTACTCCTGTACCACCGTGGGTGGTTTTGAGTAAATAAATGAATCTGAATCTGAATGCGACACAATACTTTACACAAACACCAAATACCGAGATCATTACAAACGCCAGTTGAAAAGTTTATCAAAGGGTCATTAATATTTATGTATTCATTAGATATTTTGTTACAGTAAAAAATGTTGCTTATTCCATATACGCCAAAGTCCAAATATAAAATAATGACAAAAATATAATAAACGCGTGTTTTAAGCATGGACAGATTATTACTTCGGTGATCAGAAACCAAAACATCAATATTTCAAAGTTAACTCATGGGCGTGAGAAATTATTCTTATCTCTAACTACGAACATGTCAAATATGAATTTGAATAAATTATAAACAACTTAGGCCCCTCAGCTTTTAAAACTAAATGAATTGTAGTACATTGAAATTTACATAAATATTCAGATACATATCGTTGTCTTAAAAATATTTGCATAAAGATAACAGTTTAAATAAGGACATATTAACAGCGTCATCTTCTAATTTATTAATACTTAATGAAACGATTGTATCAATGTTAAGATAGGGGCGGTCGGGTATCCTAGTGGTTCAAGCGTTCGCTCGTCACGCCGAAGACACGGGTTCGATTCCCGACATGGGTACATTGTGTGAAGCCCATTTCTTGTGTCCCCCGCCGTGATATTGCTGGAATATTGCTAAAAGCGGCGTAAAACCATACTCACTCACTCACTCAATGTTAAGATACATAAACTGCCGTGAAAGAAAGTATGCAAATTGGATTTGACCAGAAAAATGCAAACGTCACCACAACATTACACGGCTGAAAACAGTGACTGAAAGACTTCAAACTTAAGGCCCGAAACACAACTTTAATTTTTACCCGGAAGTTTATATACACATGTGCTAATTTTCTGTGACAAATATGTGATATGCTTTCAAGTTTATTAAGCTGCAGTTTATATACACATGTGCTAAGTTTCTGTGACGAATATGTGATATGCTTTCAAGTTTATTAAGCTGCAGTTTATATACACATGTGCTAAGTTTCAGTGACAAATATGTGATATGCTTTCAAGTTTATTAAGCTGCAGTTTATATACACATGTGCTAAGTTTCTGTGACAAATATGTGATATGCTTTCAAGTTTATTAAGCTGCAGTTTATATACACATGTGCTAAGTTTCAGTGACAAATATGTGATATGCTTTCAAATTTATTAAGCGATGGATAGACAATGAAACCCCTTTAATGCGGACGGTACCTCTTCCGTTGGAAACGTTCGGATTAAATGTCCGGATTAACGATAATGGCGACTGATATGGGAATTGATTTTCAATTGCATAATTATATATTCCGAAAATTAATTATCCTGTAAACGCGGATTCCGGACTAAAAGTGACCGAACTAACGAGGTTACACTCCCATGGAAAGGGCCGGGGCAGTGGTATGTAGGAGGTAATAAGAACATTATTGGATTTCAGATAATACGCCAGCAGTTTCCCCAGATCACAACGCGGAGACTCGGCACGCGAGGCCAATCCAAGTAGGTACACAGTTTATAATGTTATTTTCATGCTTTATGTGTTATATATTTATTATGTCAGATGGATTGAAATGAATCAGAGCATATGCTTCAACCACGTCGCAGTCTTCTCATTGGTGACGCACACACATACCACACACACACACACACACACACACACACACACACACGCCCAACACACACATCACACACACATCACACACACCATGCACACACACACACCACACACACACACGCACCACACACACACGCACACACACACCACACCACACCACCACACACGCACCACACACACACACACACACACACCACACCACCACACACGCACCACACACACACCACCACACACACACACACACACACACACACCATGCATACACACACACACACCACACAAGCACACACACACACCACGTACACACAAACACGCGCTCGCGCACACATACACACACACAGAGTCTCAATTTGTATATGCTTCGCATTGTAATTCAATTATGAGACGTTCCTCCTCGTGCAGATATCGCACATCACGATGGTCTTGTTTTCATGGTTGCTTGTTTCGCAATGACACGCTCCATTTCACAATGACATCGTTTAAAAAGCGTCGCTGCTTGGTTTAAAAAAAAACGGCATTTAGAATCAAAATTCCATAATCAATAAGATTCATCGCCGCTCAATCATATTTAGGTTAGGTGGGATGAAATGATATTGCGTTTAACGTCGCTTTTAAGATTATTGCATTTATATAGCGACGTGCATGCACATGGTGTTATGGTTAACATAATCGCCACTATAATTGCTTAGTTAGTCAATTAAATGCCACGGAATCACATACTAGTTATGTATTACACTATGACCGGTTATTCACGTGGGTGAATGGTACATTTGTATGAGTCTTGAAACATGTATGTAGTTATTGAGTAGCGCGCTCAATATTTTACTATATTTTAAAATAATGAATATGACAAAGAAAAATTTAAAACGAATCTAAATTGTTTACAATCTCTTTTTGCCATTACATTTTGTAATATTCAAAATAAGACAAACTTTAAATACTCGTTCTGATAATATTTTTATTATATAATCGTTCTGTAACCAAAATACGGCGCCACTAGCCACAATTTAAATTTGAAATACAGTAAACTACGTTTATAACGAACACGCCTATAACGAACTTGCGGATATAACGAACTGGTGTTTTTTTTGGTCCCGGCCGTTTGCTGTGTATATGCTGTATTCATGTATATGCTTATAACGAACTACGGTTATAACGAACTAAAAGTTGTGGTCCCTTTGAGTTCGTTATAACCGTAGTTTACTGTATGTATATGTTCGCGTGACGCATTATCAAACATTTTACTTACCCGTGAAGATCCAGGTTAGAAAAGGTCTTCAGCAACCCATGCTTGTCGCAAGAGACGACTAACGGGATCGGGTGGTCAGGCTCTCTGATGCATGGCTGATGCTTGTCATCGTATCCTAAATGGTGTCAATCACTGGTTTCACTGGCAATATTCGGTTATTTACAGATTTCCGTTATAAAGCGGAAATATTGTTGAGTGCGGGTAAAACAACATTTAACTAATACCACACCTTCTACTACAACAACAACAACTACTACTACTACTACTACTACTACTACTACTACTACCATTACTACTGCACTACTACTACTACTATTATTATTATTTTGTCATCCCTTGCAGGTATCATTACTATGGTATCGGTGTACGTGAAAGTTCCCAGTACTTTGAGGTCATGTACTCGGCCAAAGCAGCACAGGGGTGAGTAGTGTTAGCTGTAGCCAGTACCAGGCTGACTCAGTAGTCTTGTCATTACCAGCACACTCTATCCATCACGGTAGCCGTACTCCCAGTACCAGGCTGACTCAGTAGTCTTGTCATTACCAGCACACTCTATCCATCACGGTAGCCGTACTCCCAGTACCAGGCTGGCTCAGTAGTCTTGTCATTACCAGCACACTCTATCCATCACGGTAGCCGTTCACCCAGTACCAGGCTGGCTCAGTAGTCTTGTCATTACCAGCACACGCTATCCATCACGGTAGCCGTTCTCCCAGTACCAGGCTGACTCAGTAGTCTTGTCATTACCAGCACACTCTATCCATCACGGTAGCCGTACTCCCAGTACCAGGCTGGCTCAGTAGTCTTGTCATTACCAGCACACTCTATCCATCACGGTAGCCGTTCACCCAGTACCAGGCTGGCTCAGTAGTCTTGTGATTACCAGCACACTCTATCCATCACGGTAGCCGTTCACCCAGTACCAGGCTGGCTCAGTAGTCTTGTCATTACCAGCACACTCTATCCATCACGGTAGCCGTACTCCCAGTACCAGGCTGACTCAGTAGTCTTGTCATTACCAGCACGCTCTATCCATCACGGTAGCCGTTCACCCAGTACCAGGCTGACTCAGTAGTCTTGTCATTACCAGCACGCTCTATCCATCACGGTAGCCGTTCTCCCAGTACCAGGCTGGTTCTGTAGTCTTGTCATTACCAGCACACTCTATCCATCACGGTAGCCGTACTCCCAGTACCAGGCTGACTCAGTAGTCTTGTCATTACCAGCACGCTCTATCCATCACGGTAGCCGTTCACCCAGTACCAGGCTGACTCAGTAATCTTATCATTACCAGCACACGCTATCCATCACGGTAGCCGTTATCCCAGTACCAGGCTGGTCCAGTACTCTTGTCATTACCAGCACACTCTATCCATCACGGTAGCCGTTCACCCAGTACCAGGCTGACTCAGTAGTCTTGTCATTACCAGCACACGTTATCCATCACGGTAGCCGTTCACCCAGTACCAGGCTGACTCAGTAGTCTTGTCATTACCAGCACACGCTATCCATCACGGTAGCCGTACTCCCAGTATCAGGCTGACTCAGGGTGGGTGTTGATGCTGCAGCTGATGGTGACTAACGTTATTCGCAATTTCACCAGCTGATATAAGTTATTTACTGTTATAGTATCGTTACTGCTATAAAGTTGTATGCAAGAAGACAATTTAGCATTGTAAGTACAGAAACGTTGATAAGGAATAAAGGATAAGGGCTCATATAAATTGCCAAAGCGTTTTGTGCCATGATTGCATAGCTAAATGAAAGGTCAATATTTCAGTTTTGTACGAACGTTGATACAATACATATGCCTACTGTTTTATCTTTAACACTTGACACGAGTTAACACAACTAAGGTGTGAACTACTGTGTATCAATAGTAACGGTAGTTTTCCTGTTTTCACAGAGCGGGCGACAACAAGAAAGACGGATCGAAACAGGTAATTCATTTTAACACATATACCATTGTCCATCTACTGATGTGGTGTAATCTATTGTAACAAATATACCATGTTTATCTACTGATGTGGCGTAATATATTGTAGTGCATATCCTATGTCTATCTTCTGACGTGGTGTAATACTTATAGTTATGGTGTCTTTAGTTGCCGTCTTGGACTTTTACTGGCGGTATACGGGCTCATGTAGGGTCAGTAGGTCCTTTCTCTGATTGGTCAATCGCACTTTCCGACCTAATAAACTGTTATACATATACCATGAGGCATAATATATTACTGTACATACCATATCTATATACTGATGTGGTGTATAACTATTTTACTAGACCTTGACAAAAAAAATCCGCTGTGAAATATTGCCCAACACAGATTGACGTTTCCAGTGGCTTTGTATGAAATGACTATATCTCGAGAGCTAGAGATATGCTTCATTGGACTTAAAGAGATATCTTGAAGCTTTATGCTCAATCATTACCTGTATTAGGCTATAACAAATGACCACATATGGTATGAGTACTTGAATAAGAATATTCGAAAATAATTATATCCTGAACTGTATAATGCTGTGTGGAGATTGTACAGGCGCATACAATGGAGAATATAAACGCTTCTACCACTATGTCACTTGAAACCTACGAAGCTGAAAATCGGAAAACTCCAATACCAATACCAATATAACTAAATTACAAATGATTCAATGCCATTGGATTAGCTTACCAAGAAATTATTTTTACGTTTATGCTCCCATTGACATACATCTGTTTCTTGCTTGGCTGATACGAGAGAGGGCGTGGCTCATGCTGGATTATTGCGATGTCACCGTTTTTAAAACGTTGTTTCATAGATTAAAATAAGCAGTCTGTGTCCTAAGTATTGACATAATTATATATACGAATTAATGTGGATTTCTTTTATTGAAGTCAATTCTTTAGTAATGGGTGTGCGGTATCTGTCTGTGTGTATCTTGTCTATAGCCATTGGCCTATGTATATCAGATGGTGGCGTACTCTCGGAGGTCCAAGCTAGGTTGTGGCAGCTGTCTGTGTGTATCTTGTCTATAGTCATTGGCTGTGCATATCAGATGGTGGCGTACTCTCCGAGGTCCAAGCTAGGTTGTGGTATCTGTCTGTGTGTATCTTGTCTATAGTCATTGGCTGTGCATATCAGATGGTGGCGTACTCTCCGAGGTCCAAGCTAGGTTGTGGTATCTGTCTGTGTGTATCTTGTCTATAGTCATTGGCTGTGTTTATCAGATGGTGGCGTACTCCCCGAGATCCAAGCTTGGTTGTGGTAGCTGTCTGTGTGTATCTTGTCTATAGTCATTTGCTGTGCATATCACATGGTGGCGTACTCTCGGGGGTTTAAGCTAGGTTGTGGTAGCTGTCTGTGTGTATCTTGTCTATAGTCATTTGCTGTGCATATCACATGGTGGCGTACTCTCGGAGGTCCAAGCTAGGTTGTGGTAGCTGTCTGTGTGTATCTTAACTGTTGTCATTGGCTGTGCATATCAGATGGTGGCGTTCTCTCCGAGGTCCAAGCTAGGTTGTGGTATCTGTGTGTGTGTATCTTGTCTATAGTCATTGGCTGTGTATATCAGATGGTGGCGTACCCTCCGAGGTCCAGGCTAGGTTGTGGCAGCTGTCTGTGTGTATCTTGTCTATAGTCATTGGCTATGTTTATCAGATGGTGGCGTACTCCCCGAGGTCCAAGCTTGGCACTCTGCTTCCCGACTTCCCCGACATAAAAGACGTCAAGATCCCACCTAACATCGATGAATCCAAGGTAAAGATATCCACATATATTTGTTATCGTGTCACAAATTATCACATAAGTACACATTATTTTACCTTGAAACCTTGTGTTCTGTGTCTATAGATTCTTACAAAGTACCACGCTCTGCTTAACACACATTCCAGGGAAGTCTGACTCGTCGTGTAAAATCCGATTGGCTTGTCTGTAAACCATCATTTTAGCATGTTTATCTATTTATAAGTTAATGGTTATCTCATGCTTTAAACAACGTTCACGTTTCTCATATGTACACATAGACATACTTGAAACTTGCACCAGGCTCAGTATCTATAGATACACTTTCGGGGTAATTATTTTATGATCCAAAACTGGCTGATGCATGTCATCCAATCCCAATTGCGATATAAATGATGTCTGATTATTTACAGACCGCCGCCATAGAGATGGAATATTGTTGAGAGGGCGTTAAACAAAAAATCAAACACACATTATTATGTATAAGTATGTGCATGCCAGAATCCTACAATGATGATGCTGTTGTTGCTGTTGCAGGTGGTGACGTTCCTGATGATGTACCGCACACATTGTCAGAGGATACTCGACACTGTCATCAGAGCAAACTTTGAAGAGGTGGGTTTCTAATACCATTTAAACTGCTTTCTTCAGTGATCATCTATCTCGACTGTAAATCTAACATAGTTTCTTTATTGCCAGGTCTGATTTTGTTAAATATGTAATACCCTCGATGTTCTATTCACTGTTGCAATACAGTCAGTGCGTTCTCTACTAATAACTCGTTGAAATAACGACCCGTCATATCACAGTTACGCAGGCTATTGACGTGTATCACTATTGTGGCAGAACAGATAAAAAATAACATTATTTACATACGAGGGCTACGGTGCATGTAAAGAATGGGTATATGTACATATAGTAAACTACGTTTATAACGAACACGCTTATAACGAACTGACGGATATAACGAACTAAAATTAGTTGTCCCTTTGAGTTAAAACCGTAGTTTACTGTATAAGATTGCGTATGCTGTAGACATTGGGTACAAGCGTTACACAAATACAGAGATATTAAAGTTACCGGGATGACTTAAATTGTTTTTAAGTACAATTGCAAAAGTTAGTTAGTTTTGTAAGTATACTAACTGTTTGGTTTAAGGAGAGTAAACGGAACTTTAGTATATTTGGATTTAGTCAAGTATGCTGGCAGATATCTTATACGTTCGTCAATGAAAACGTACAAACGAAGATATTGTGGAATTCATTCCATTTATTATTATCACGTGGACAGCTTGTCTCATACACTGGCGCTACCAGACAAATAGTCCCTCTCGGGGCTAACCTTGTATTCGAAAAAATCACCCGGTTGTGGGTATTGATGTATCTTATACCAATGATCTACTCATGTTTTGTGATGAAAAACAGTTTAATTAACTATTTTACCATCTCACAATGGCTTCCACGGGAGATATGTATGAAAAATTGTTTGCAGGCCTTATTCCCACCTTCTGTTACCATGACATTATAATCAAATGGCACAACTAATATGCCTGCCACTATAACTGGTTAAGTGTACCTTTTAACAATCAAGGCTCTAGTTTTTACTGTTAACAAACTGAACAGTTGGAAGAATGATCTTGGAAGACAAATATAATCTCACACTGGTAGCTTTTGATACCAAACATAAGTGTTTAAAACCCCTCACATATTTGATATCAATAGGAACACGGGTGAGATTCTCTCCATAAAAAATATATTGAATGCTTTTAGCAATATTCAAGCAATAGCACGGCGGGGAACACCAGAAATGGGCTTCACACATTGTACCAATGTCTGGATTCGAACCCGGGTCTTTGACGTGACGAGCGAACGCTTTAACCACTAGGCTACCCGACCGCCCCCATAAACGTCTAAAGCTCCTCGTGTTCACATATTTGGTATCAATATGCATTCGGGTGAGATTCTCTCTATACAAAATCAACTATATATTGAATGCTCCTTGTTGCAGGTGCAGAGCTTCTTGCTCCACTTCTGGCAGGGGATGCCGGCCCACATGGTACCCATTCTGGACTGTCAGTCTATCGTCATGCTGGTTGGCGTGTGTGACTCCATCCTGTACAAGGCTATAGCCAGCGTCCTCATGCCAACGGTGTTACAGGCACTGCCAGACAGGTACAACATCGATGTGTGACCTTGATACTCTCATCGTCAGACGCTTCATTACAGTAAACCACGTTTATAACGAACACGTTTATAACGAACTTACCGATATAACGGAACTATTTTTTAGTCCCTGTCACGAATTTAAATTAGTCATCCCTTTGTGTTCTTTATAACCGTAGTCATAATGTCATTTTTATGTGATTTTATTGTGTCCAAGTGACAATGTACAGCATACTTTCACAACCTACTGCAATCATATACGAATGTTGACTGATAAATGTTTACTCATAAATCGAAGGATCTACGTAATAGAGAACTCTTATAGTGGCCATTATACGATGTCAAAGAGGTAGATCAACACAAACAACTTGAATTGTGTCGCTGTGACAAGTTAGTGAAATAAGCAGGGAAAATTACCTTGTGACCTTTGAAAAATGGACATACAGTAAACTACGGTTATAACGAACTCGAAAGGGACCACTAATTTTAGTTCGTAATAAACGCAGTTCGTTATAAGCATATATATGCAGCATATATACAACTTATTGCCAGGACTAAGAAATATGTTCGGTCAGGTCGTTTAAGCGTGTTCGTTATAAACGTAGTTTACTGTACTTGAGGAACGAGCTTTATTACGCAATGCCTACTAAGTGTGGCTTAGAACCTGTCAATCAAGACGGGTATGTCCTCAGAAAGCAACGATAATGAAAGCTGTAATGTATAACATGAATGATTCCAAATGAAAACTTCTTTTAACATACATGTATTTTCAGTAAAATACATGTGTGTCATTTTACAAATTTAGTGCCGATCAAATTCTGATTATTAAAAATTCTGATATAATGTCGATTTTCATGATTGAACATCTTCTTCACCTATCATTCTAAAAAGTGATGATAAAAGGGACATACAATGTACACGCCCTTCTTATAAAACGCTTTAATCGATGGCCTGATGGCAAGTGTTCTTCAACATAGCAAATATCTTAGCCAATATGTCCCCCTTTCTTAGTTAATAATGGTAACTGAAGACAAGCAGGGTCTTCAGACACGTTAACGGGCACTTTCATAGCAGAGGTCAGTACGTGTATCCTATCTGTGTTTCAGTCTGACCCAGGTGATCCGAAGGTTTGCCCGTCAGCTAGACGAGTGGCTGAAGCAGGCTTTGGACACACTTCCAGACTGTCTACAAAGAACAAAATTTGACCGTACGTATTCAACTCACTTTCACGCATATCTGTTTCTCGTGTAGTATATGTAGACTCGATTGTACAACTCCGACTATATCATGGGCATATGTTTATGAATCACCACCAAACAGTGATTATAACAGGTGTTCGCGAACAGGTGAGCGTATCCTGACCCATCGGTGGCACCCGTCACAAACACATGCAAAGGGGAGTCAATTGTTCACCTGAGAAAACAGGGAAACAGAAGGTACAAATCATTCGGACATCAGTCTTGTCACTGATGCGTCAAGTGTTCACCACATGTCTACCAGAAACATTTTGAAAGCTTTACTTCGTCCTTGAATGTTGTAACCTTGATCAAACAGCAGGAGTCGTATGACGCTCTTTGAAATCTTGATAGAAAGAATATGCTCGATTGTACCTCAAAAGTTGTGAAATGTAGACACCGAGGTCTTGAGCTGCAGGAACAATACTAGACATGAAGGGAAAGTTAACTATTGTAAAGTTGGAGTCATCCTTCTTGTCATAATTTTTATCTTATCTAAACGCTACCCATTCAACATTCAACATTTAAACTTTATACTGAGTCACAGTCAGCAATATTCCAGCTACACCAAGGCTAGGGGAACAGTAGCATGAGCACCCTTCACACAGTTGTACGTGTCAACAACCCGACCCTTATACCTGGGATCTTGCAAAACCCATTTGGTATTGGTCCTAGTCAGAAATTGGATGAACGTTGCTCAAAGCCACTGTCTGTCATAATCGATCTGTATTACGTGGTATTAAAGATAATAACAAAATTAAACGAATGGTGGTCAGATAAACAAGGATATGTCAGACAGAGCAATGATCCACTGAGTGTTCGAGTCTGACCTTCCGATAAAGTTAGTCGACTTCACGGTCAAAAATAGCTATGGAATACTGAAGGTTCAAACAGACACCAGACTTTTGTACGACACAGTGCCACACTATAACCATCCAACATGTCTATCCTACAGTGGCGAGGCGGTTCGCCCAGGTGTTGCGGCGCCAAACGTCCTTGAACCACCTGTGCCAGGCAGCTCGGAGCGTCATCCACAGCTCCGACATCACGCTACAGATGCTGGATGACTGGCTTAGCGTGGACCTCAGCAGCATCGTCAAGCAAACCCTCTACACCATGGACCACTACTCCGAGAGAGAGCATGAAACGATTTTCAATTGTAGGTTGACCATATTAACATGTCTTCATTCATCATTGGTTGGTTTAAGGATCTCCCCCACCTTAAAAATTCAGTGTCAAGATTGTTCACCACTGAGCCTTATAATCACACTTACGACTTAAACGTTATAAAACTTGATTTTCCTCTCACATTTCACGAAATGCTGAATGAAAAAATAGAGAATTTGAAATGTTGTGTTTTCCTTGCCGTGATGTGTGTGGCGATATTTTGATTCGATGTGTGTGCCTACGTCTACATGTTATGTGTGTGGCGATGTCTACATGTTATGTGTGTGGCGATGTCTCGATGTGATGTGTGTGGCGACGTCTAGATTTGATTGTGGCGACGTCTAGATGTGATGTGTGTGGCGACGTCTAGATGTGATGTGTGTGGCGAGGTCTAGATTTGATGTGTGTGGCGACGTCTAGATGTGATGTGTGTGGCGACGTCTAGATGTGATGTGTGTGGCGATGTCTCGATGTGATGTGTGTGGCGACGTCTCGATGTGATGTGTGTGGCGACGTCTAGATGTGATGTGTGTGGCGACGTATCGATGTGATGTGTGTGGCGACGTCTAGATGTGATGTGTGTGGCGACGTCTAGATGTGATGTGTGTGGCGATGTCTCGATGTGATGTGTGTGGCGACGTCTAGATGTGATGTGTGTGGCGACGTGTAGACGTGATGTGAGTGGCGACGTCTAGATGTGATGTGTGTGGCGACGTCTAGATGTGATGTGTGTGGCGACGTCTAGATGTGATGTGTGTGGCGATGTCTCGATGTGATGTGTGTGGCGACGTCTAGATGTGATGTGTGTGGCGACGTGTAGACGTGATGTGAGTGGCGATGTCTAGATGTGATGTGTGTGGCGACGTCTAGATGTAATGTGGGTGGCGTAGACTAGATGTCATATTGTGGCGATGTCTAGATATGATGTGAGTGGCGACGCCTAGATGTCATATGTGTGGCGATGTCTCGATGTGATGTGTGTGGCGACGTCTAGATGTGATGTGTGTGGCGACGTATCGATGTGATGTGTGTGGCGACGTCTAGATGTGATGTGTGTGGCGACGTCTAGATGTGATGTGTGTGGCGATGTCTCGATGTGATGTGTGTGGCGACGTCTAGATGTGATGTGTGTGGCGACGTGTAGACGTGATGTGAGTGGCGACGTCTAGATGTGATGTGTGTGGCGACGTCTAGATGTGATGTGTGTGGCGACGTCTAGATGTGATGTGTGTGGCGATGTCTCGATGTGATGTGTGTGGCGACGTCTAGATGTGATGTGTGTGGCGACGTGTAGACGTGATGTGAGTGGCGATGTCTAGATGTGATGTGTGTGGCGACGTCTAGATGTAATGTGGGTGGCGTAGACTAGATGTCATATTGTGGCGATGTCTAGATATGATGTGAGTGGCGACGCCTAGATGTCATATGTGTGGCGATGTCTAGAAGTGTTGTCATCATGCCATATATATTGTGTTCTGCAGTGTGCACGGAGTTCGAGCGTCTCCTGGAGGAGCAGGCCCCGATTGAGTCTTACATTGAGTGGCTGGACAGCATGGTGGACCGCTGTGTCATACAGGTGAGCACACATCAGAATAACCCACTAGTATACATGAATCGCAGGCGTTCAAATGTGTCTCATGGCGTTGTTGATAACCTCGAGATTGCCGTCAAGATGTCTCAACACTTACTGGGGCCACGGGTGGCCCAGTCGTCTAAGGCGCCGCGATTCGCTGTGCAGAGTTGCGTCCCTTGGGCACGCCAGAAACCTATGATTGTGGGTTCGAATCCCGGTTCACCCCGATTATGTTCCTAGGTTTGTCAGCACCATACCCATGCTCATGAGTTTCACTCACTCACTCACTTCAACACTTACTGAGTTTCACTCACCTTGTTGGGCTAACCAGGAAGGGGAGTCATGAATACATTTTGGACTTCGGCCAAGACGATCCTTTCCAATGTTTAATCTGCTTGTGTACCAGGCAATATGTGTTTTATATCAGGCTGTTCCCTGGATCCAAAATCTAGGTATCTGCCGTGACGGCAGTGTACTTTAACCATCATACATAAACATCCTTGAAAATATAAACAGATACCTGATCATAGATTCACAGTCACTGAAAGCTTTATGTTGTGTCAAACTCTCTGGCCTAACACATATATCCCACGTTGACCTACTTTTCTGACTTAACTCATATATCCATCACTGACATAACTCATATATTCTATTCTCACATAACTCATAAATCCTTCTCTGGCATAACTCAAATTATCTTCTTTGACATAACTCTGACATAACTCATATATTCTTCTCTGACATAACTCAAATATTCTTCTCTGGCATAACTTACATATTCTTCTCTGACATAACTCATATATCCTTCTCTGACATAACTCATATATCCTTCTCTGACATAACTCATATATCCTTCTCCGACATAACTCATATATTCTTCTCTGACATAACTCATATATCCTTCTCTGACATAACTCTTATATCTTTCTCCGACATAACTCATATATCCTTCCCCGACATAACTCATATATTCTTCTCCGACATAACTCATATATCCTTCTCTGACATAACTCATATATCTTCTCTGACATAACTCATACATTCTTCTCTGACATAACTCATTTATCATTCTCAGACATAACTCGTATATCCTTCCCTGACATAACTCATGTATCCTTCTCTGACATAACTCATTTATCCTATTCTGACCTTTGTTACAGCCCAGTCTGAAGAAAGCGGGGACGATGCGTCGATTGGCCCGACAGTTCCTGCTGATGTGGTCGTGCTTCGGGACCCGAGTCATCCGAGACATGACACTACACAGCTCGCCAAGCTTCGGTACGTTCCGTGTAGAGCTCAGACTATATATCGTGCAACCTATTTGCACGCATTGTCGAGTGGTGTGTTACGTTGCTGGATACAGCGCGAGTCAATTCCTAGCATTGACAAGTGTTTTCTGCAATAAATTATACCAATCGCTTCGCACGTGTTTTCTACTTGTTGATTCGCCCTTTTGGTGCAATAATTATTTTTGGTTATTCCTTGAAACTGTATCGAATGATATCGTTCTTAAATATTTATAGAAACTAATTAAAATGTCGTCGTCGTCGTCATCATCATCATCATCATCGTCATCGTCGTCGTCGTCGTCGTTGTTGTTGTTGTTGTTATTATTATTATTATTATTATTATTGAAAGGCTCCTTCCATCTCCTGCACCTGATGTTTGACGACTATGTGATGTACCTAGTGGAAAACCTATACTGTCAAGAGCGAGCTAACGACTTCCTGCGAGCCATCAAGGGAGAGAACTCGGACAGTAAGCACACAGTTTATTGCGTATTGTCCTTCAATGGAAAATGCACGATGACGTCGAACATCGTTTGTGTGTGTGTGCTTGTATTGTTTAGTTGGAATGAGTTGTAGAATATCCTTACATGTTGCAATTTGCTTACATACTCGTTACCAATTTGATTTAGTGCACATATGAGGACACGTTAAAAAGCAAATTATACACAATGAAACATTCAGAATGGAAACAGACAGGGACATATAGATAAAAAACAACAACAACAAAATAACTTATTCCTCTTTGAAAGGACATATATATATATATATATATATAACTTAAACCGTCTACAAAATGTATAATGCAAAGACGTAAAAATGTTGAGATTGTTTAAAAGAACGCTAATATTAGTTAATATTTCTTAAATGTGGAATAGAATGATCCCAGGCGGAGCCTTGTACTGCGTTATATTGAATGCATAATCTACCTTCCAGATCCAATTGAGGATATCATTCTTCCAGATCCAAGTGTCATCAAGGACAGCTTGCTATCACCTGCTGACACGGCAACCTTGACCCCTACGATACAGGAACGAGGCTCTGTCATTACCAATGCACGCAATATCATGAGTCACATGACAGGTAAGGTTACAGGTCCAACATGCAGAGCTTCCCTGTTCAGAGCTGACTTCCTTAAAGATTATGTTTGCGCTTCCATCGTAAAAGTTCAATATTGCTTGACAATCGACAGTTTCAGTGAATCAGGAAGGTAATATGGTTTACAATTACAGCTATTGGCCCACGTTTGTCATATTGATTGATATATTCATATATTCTTTGTAAAACAGCATACGATGACGCTAGTGGAGTGACGTCATCGTCGTGCAGCGAGAGACTGACCAATCAGAACAAGGTGACGCCAGACTCGCCCCGGTCTCGACATCCAAACTCTATCGCACAGGGGTACGTACATATCTGCTTCATAACGCCATACACGAACAAAACCAGAACCTACTGGCTTTTTTTTTACGTACAGAAATACATTTTTATCCCCTTTCGCAACGATGCCTATATAATATATACTTTTAACTACGGTTATAACGAACTCAAAGGGATTACTATTTTTAGTTCGTTATAACCGTAGTTCGTTATAAGCATATATACAGCATAACTACAGCAAATAGTCGGGACTAAAAAGTTAGTTCGTTATATCCGTCAGTTCGTTATAAGCGTGTTCGTTATAACCGTAGTTTACTGTATACATATATATACATATGGGTTGCTTCATCAATTAGGGGCGGTCGGGTAGCCTAGTGGTTAAAGCGTTCACTCGTCACGCCGAAGACCCGGGTTCTATTCCCGACATTGGTACAATATGTGAAGCCCATTTCTGGTGTCCACCGCCGCGATATTGCTGGAATATTGCTAAAAGCGGCGTAAAATCATACTGACTCACTCACTTCATCAATTAACGGCGGTCGGGTAGCCTAATGGTTAAAGCATTCGCTCGTCACGCCGAAGACCAGGTTCGATCGCGACATGGGTAAAATGTGTGAAGCCCATTCTGGTGTCCCACGATATTCCAAAATATTGCTAAAAGCGGCGTGAAACCATACTCACTCATGCACGCATCAGTTAAAGATGTGAATGTATCTCAAAAAGGGAATAAAGGACGGTTGTGTTCCTTGTAGCTTGGATATCCCAAAAAACATGTCTCAGATTCGGTGGGATAGTTTTGTATGCATCACGGAAGAGTACACATGTATTCGTCCCCATCTGTGTCTCATTATAAGGACATATGACATTATATCTATTATAATTGTTTAACAGTCTTCGATCATAATAAATATTATGCAAAACTCGCTCCCTTTACATTTCAAATTTATGTCCCTCTTTAAATAAGCGCTGATAAGCTCGGGACAGGTAAAATTATTTCATTTGGGACATACACATGATAGGAAAAGGGAAGCTCGTTTAATATCATATAAGTACAACTTTATTTTCTCTATGGGGCTAGTCTACGTTTTGTAACTTTTGTAAACTAGATCATAAAAGCGAGTGATTGAGTATGAATTTATGCTGCTTTTAGAAAAATTCCAGCAATATCACGGACACTAGAAATGGGCTTCACACATTGTACCCATGTCGGGAATCGAAACCGGGCCTTCGGCGTGACGAGCGAACGCTTAAACCACTAGGCTACCTTAGATCATAAGATGACTGATAGTGGATTAGAGGAGAGTTGAATGTATCAAATTATCAATTATTATAAGGCTCTAGCACTTATTAGGCTCGAGGCTTTGGAGAACCCTTTTTTCACTTATACATCTTCGATCACACCCTGAACATTCCCTAATATCATCACCCATCAAACTTTTCAGAAAGGATATGCAAGTTGACGAACATTTTCTTGATGCCATGTCTCTTCGTTGCAGCAATAACCAAGGGGTGTTCCAGTCATGTACTTCCTACAGCGCCCCCTATAGTCAAGGTCACACGAAAACTACGCATGCGCATCCAGGAGGTCAAGTGCAATACAACTATGATGTCACTTCCGGACAGGTTTGTACTGACGTTAACTGTTCTGATGCCGATTATGTACTTTACAGTAAACATGATTGATCATATAATGTTTTACGGATGTCTGTGAAAGGTCGATTTCTGATGTCCCTACTGTGATATTGCTGGAATATTACTAAAAGCGGCGTAAATCAATACGCCCCCTCTCACTCACAGCAAAACTTCATTCACTCGTAAATCACGGGAACCGGACTTATCAATGCTTTTGGATAAAAAGAGAGTGGACAAAAACTGGTTGTTTGTATTAATGATACTTATGATACATCAACACATTCGGCTTAAGATCTCTTTCTCTATTCCTGAAAGACACATACAAACATTGCTTGTTTACAGATGCCTGGTCAGCTGACAGACGATACCGGAAGACAGGTCGCCATGTCGCAGTCCGCCATGCGCAGTGGAGGTATCGGCACGGACTGGTCACTAAGCAACCATCCGCGGCAACAAACATCAATGAACGAAAATGTTCCCCCTCTGATTAAGATGTGAGTACCTTGATGTATCTTATATATTTCGGGGAAGTGAGTCGTCTAAACTCCCGGACTACGCGATTCAGAATTTCGTCCATTAGTAGGGCCGGGATACGATGGCTGCGGGTTGTAATCTCATATTTACGCCGACAATTAACCTTTGTTCATCAGCATCAATCCGTGCTCTTGCATCACTGATGCCTTCCTACAACATTGTTTGTTTGTTTGTTTGTTGTTTCACGCCACTCCTCTATCATTGAGCTGACATGCGTAATATTCTTCTCAACCATGATACTGAATAATGCTTGATTCTGATTGGATAAGAAAGGCATACTTTTTCCAATTGATACCTCGGTTAAATTAAGCCTTTTCATACAAACATCTTGCGTATGACAGGTGTTTGCTGTTTAACGCCGGACTCAGCAATATTTCAGCTATATGACGGCGGTCTGTAAATTAATCGAGTCTGGACCAGACAATCCAGTGATTGACATCATGAGCATCGATCTACGCAATTGGGATGCGATGACATGCATCAGACAAGTCAGCAAGCCTGACTACCCGGTCCTTTTAGTCGTCTCTTACGACAAGATAGTCGCCTTTTACGGCAAGCATGGGTTGCTGAAGACCTATTCTGCCCCGGATCTTCACGGGTCCCTTGCGTATGAAAACATCGATCTGTCACCATCCTACGAAGCGGTGCATCCAACAATGTCTGCTGATAACGCATTGGAATATAGTATGTGTAGATCAGAACGACAGCGTATCACACATGATGAAATAAATTTCAAACACATAGTTACCTAAACAAACATAAACCATCGATCACAAAAGTAAGCAGTCTCTCTATAACTACAACAACCATTCCCCCGGGTGTCTCCGTTGACAATGGTTGTGCCAGTATGCTTAATTTCGCCTGTAAATCACCCGTTGAACATCATTATCAGTTTATTTCTTCATTTTCAGGAACGAAACCCACGGCTACACCTCCCCATTTCCCCCATCCATCCGACAATCAGGCATGGAGTGCGGGGGCTACAACTACGACAACGTGGGGAAGCCCGCGCCACAGACAACTCCCGACAACAGCGCCTACGGCTACCACGGATACTCACCTGTCGGGGATTTTTATAACTTCACGGATCCGAACTCAAAGCGAAAATTAGAAGAAGACACGTTCTTTCGGTCGTATAAGAGACAGACAAAAGACTTTTATTATGAAAATATTCCTGGAGGTTTTGCACAGATGTAATTAATATGACAGCGTGTGAGTGTGTTATTTATTTCAAACCAGTGCTATAAGTATGTTTGGTGTTGCGAGGATGTTCAATGTGATGAATTTTGCATTCTGTTTGGGGACCTTGCTATGCACTTGTCCTTAACTCTTTTCCCATTGTCCCATGCGTTCGATATCTACAAACCACTATTAAAACCTACATGAAAATTCCTATTTTCAGTCAGGCGTTAATTAGGTCATCGTGCGGGCATCTGAGATCTACCAAAGGGCACGATTTGTTTTTGACGCCACCTGTATCCGGTTGGAATGTATAAAATGATTCTTATTATTTATTTAGGTGGGTTATCGGTCGATAACAATAGCCTAGATTTCACCGATCACCTTTTCTTCATAATGGTGCGATGAGCTGAACATGTGCCAAAGTCGTTTAATGAAATATCATGTATGTATTTATCATCTACACGAGATTTCTATGTTTGTTGTCTTCTTGCTTGCGAATGGTTTACCCTTAAGCTTCTGGAAACGCCAATACAGGCCAAGTCAGAGAGATGTTTGACATTCTGGGTTTTCACTTCATCTGTCTCGGCGATAAGACTGTCCGAATCTGTTGACCTAAATTCATCATAAGAGGAACAAAATGAAACAATTTAAATGTCAATTTCTTTTTTTCGTCAGTGTCATATCTTTCTGTATTTATGAAACACTCAAACGTTTAACATTGGGCTCGACTTTCAAAATAAATACTCCCGTTTCGTAATCGTTTTTCCTTTCGAAATTTTGATTTGGTATTTTATTCTATTTTGGACCACAATGTCTTGAAACAAAATTAGTCATGTTTTGAGGAAATCTGACATATAGAGTACCCCCGTGAGCCAGGAACGCTACATTCTGGGGTCCGTGTATGTGCCATAGGAAAGGACAACGTTCCATATGCATGATTCCGGTACCCATGTCTTGTTTGCTTATAGAGGTATGAACGTATCAACTTGTGTTTGCAATTCCGCATTGTGTAGCGGAGGGATCCCCTCACTTTGCCACCACCTATTGTTTCCAGTATGAAAATCAGTCCGGCATGCTAAATGGTTAAACAATAGAAGGCACCAGGGGTCATCTCAAAATTTTGATATATAATATGCAAAAATATTTCATTATTATAATTTATATAGAATGTTTTATCATAGCATTAAATAACATTTCATTGAGCATTTTGATACATTCATACACGTATTTACAGTGTATTTCATTATTTCATTATTTTATTCTATATAGCATAAAACTCATGCATAGCATTTAACTCTGGGAGGTAAATTGAACGAATGGATCTGATGTCCTTCTTAACCATGTTCTTCACTGAGGCGACAAACTTATCAACAGCAATTTCCAAGCAACAACAGGATCTACAAACTGAACGTTGATCGTTAATCAGTAATTAATCAACAAATAAGAAAATTCGCTCACCAATATTGCCAGTTATATTTCGACATTAATTGAGGGGGTGAATTCAGTTCAGTATTTGGTGACTTTGATATGGCCCCCATGCTTGTATAAACATTGCTACTGTTAATATCTGGTGGCCTGGTGGCAAAGTGAGGATAAACCGTAGCGGATTCACCGTTTTTTACGCATATACCTCCATTAGAGAAACAAAACATATTGAAGTCGATTCTTGTAAATACATAGGTCAACAATATCTTTACAGATTGATTTTTAAATCATTAACACAAAAGAATATCGAGGAACAATACAAAACAGTGAATCGTGTGAATTACTGTAACACAAGACCTCCATTCTATCATCAGCCAATCAGGACAATGTTCTTAGTTTTTCGGCTTATAGAAGCATAAACGCAATAATTAAGTGCTTGGCTAGCCAGTTTCATACCTCGAAATCTCTTGTATTCATTGCTCTCTGCCTGTGACTCATGTAAGCGGACATTTATGAATCCAGTGTGAGTTTCCCTGGGAACAAAGTTTCATTATTATCTAGTACGATAATCTTAACGTTAAATCGCTTATTGAAGATGTTCTGTCATCATAACGCACATCGTGTATACATTTCGAACAGAGTTTGTACATTATGCTGACACAGCACAGTCTAGTCCAGTCGATTGCTTTCTTGGAGTCTTACCTAAGGGCCCTATAAAGCGAATATTACTTTGCATGGACACGTACACATCTGTGTGTGTGCTTGGGTTCCGCCTCCAAGGACTTTGCTAAGAGTTTCTGTAATAACAGACGTTTTCATAATGCATGCGGAGATCGTGGATCATGTTTAAATCGATTCTTGTATGGTACCAGTCGCAGAGATCTCTCTACTGCCGTTTATGATTAAATTCATTTTGAATCTTA